CACCACCACTGGATTCACAAGACTTTCCACCCACTGGCCTGTGATCTTCCTGCATTTGGCATCATTGCATGTGTTGCATGAGTCTGAAGAGGAATTTATAGATTGGTATCGGACAGATAGACTAATATTGGATTATGGACTTAATCTGGACTGGGCTGGGATGTTTTCTCAACATTCAATTGCTCTTGTATATAAAGCTCTTTCGTACACACGAGTGTCTATGAATTTGTTTCTCTAGTCAACCCTGACTAACACACTCACCTAGTAGGAAAAATGCGTACTACAAAAGCTCCACCCAACATAGCTTTTTTTCCAGTTTTGGGGGTTACCCTTTTGTATGTACATGCATATATATATTATTTTTCCTTCTCCCCCCCCCATCCCACTATTATAATTGCTTAATTCCTCTCAGATACAATTTGATTGATCAAACATGACCAGAAAAGCTACGCACTCCTCGCGGTCCTTGTTAGAACATGTACTATTCCCCTATAACCATCCATCATTGTTGGCTCCCCACTCACCTCCCCCTACCTCCTCCCCTCGCATGGCCCCCAGGAACCGTCAGTCCATCTGCTGCCTCTGTAAGATTGCCCATCCTGCATATCTTGTATAGATAAACACCAAATAATAATAAAATTGAATTTTAAAAAAACCATACAGATAGTCACCAGTCTAACAGGGATCATGACATAGAGCAGCATTCATGTCTGATAGGCGAGCATCCTATAAGTCCATGTTGTTATTCCCGAAGTCAAGAATGGAGCTTTCTAGTGCCCCACCCCCACATCAGTTATGCCTTAGACCAGTGGTTCTCAACCTGTGGGTCGTGACCCCTTTGGGAGTTGACAACCCTTTCACAGGGGTCGTCTAAGACCCTATTTCTGATGGTCTTAGGAACCGAGACACCGCTCCTCTACTTGTCTCCAGACAGGTCCGCCCACATGCAGATACGCCCACCTACGGCATCACCACACCATGAGGAGCTGTGTTAAAGGGTCACAGCATAGCAAGGTTGAGAAG